GCTGGGACTCAAGATCCTGAATTCATAAGCACAGGAAAGGCTGTTGAGCATGTGAAACTGAAAGCACAAAGATTTCAGAACCAAGTTTGAATGAATAGGAAAAAGAGAAAAAGAGAGAGGTACTTAGAAGGAACATTTAACTGCTCAACTCCACTGGAGAACTGGTAGAACATCTGGGAGAACAGCTGGGCTAACACAGCCAAACTGAGCCTGGGGGCCTCACCTTACGGTTCCAGCTGGACACAATCATCTGTGGGGGCTGTAACCCAGCTGGCAGGACTGGCTGCTGGTTTCTATTCACTCCTGATGCTTCATCCAATAAAATACTCTAAAATCCACAAAAACAATGTGAAGCACCTGTTAAATCACCACACTTTGACACTCTAGTCAGACTGAGTAAAGAAAATCATGTAGGTAGGTATCTCCACAGCCATCTCCCCCAAATTCTGTGCAACACAAGGCAGACAAACATGGGAGGAGTATGTTGAAGATCAGGGGTGGGAGGAGTTTCCTCACAGAGGCACTCTCAAATGTACAGACATGTTCTCAGGCTGTGAGGATTTTATGTCAAACTGCATTTAGTTTCCTCACACATCCCATATTACCTTCCCTCCCCTTGGCTCTCCTACCTCAGTTGCTGTGATCTCTGGCCTGGCATTTGGAAGGGATTTTAAAATAAAAAGGGAATACATAAAATTGAGGAAATAGTGACTGATTGTGGAAGCTGTGCCACTGAAGTTCTTGCAACAAAAAAATAAAAGAAAGCTTGTGGCAACAGAACACTTTTTAAGAACCACATCCAGAAATAACTTGCTTACCACTCTTTCAAGAATGACATCATTGGAGTCAACCAGCATATCAAACTTATCTTCCAGCCCTGTCACTTTGCTGGAATCTTGCATGAGGCTCCGGCAGCCGTGGTACTGCATCACCTGGCTCATGCTTGCAAGAGAACAGCACAGCTGTCAGCAGTCTGAAAGCAGGCTATCTAAACATTAAAACATCCAGTTCTCTTACAGTTTCTTACACTTTAAAGAAGTCAAATTACAGTTTCTACACTTTACAGTTCTACATTTTATAGTTTCTACACTCTTACAGTTTCTACACTTTAAAGAAGTCAAATTATAGATATCATCACATGAAAAGAAGTCAAATTATAGATATCATCACATGAAAAGAAATCAAATTATAGATATCATCACATGAAAAGAAATCAAATTATAGATATCATCACAGGAGCAGTAAATAGAAAAAGCAAGTATACAGTATTAGAGTGTTAGAATTAGGTTCTCACAAACATGACTTTTAAAATGGACAGGATCAGGTGCTCCTCTCTGCACAGCTCCTCATGGCAATATAATGAAACGCCCTCTTTAAGCTCGCCACTTCAGCTGCCAAGTGCTAGAGAAGCAGCTAAAACTGGATGTATGAAATAAACCACCTATGGCA